TCCTGGGCAAGCTGTGGGACCTCCTCATGTCCCAGGCATCTGGTTAAGACTATAAGTCGGTGAAGAGCTGTTGATCGGTGTGGGTGGCTCCTTAGATTTCCTATATAGATGAAGTCACAATTCTAAACCAAAGGAAAATGAGAGAAGAAGCTGGGACATAGCTCTGGGCTTGGAATCAGGAAGATGTGAGTTCAAATCTGGCTTCAGACATTTACTAGTTGTGTGACTCTGGGCAAGTCACTTAACCTCCATTTGCCTCCATTTTCTCTGCTGTAAAGTGGGAATAAAAGCCCTAGCTCATGATGACCAAGTAAGATAATGTTTATAAAAGCACTATAGTAGGTGCTGTATAAATTTATATAATATATAAATATTAGAAATGTCTTATTTAATATTAATATTTAATATAATTATAAATACTTATATAACACATATATGTTCTCTTCCCCTTACTTATTCTCCATTTTAAAGTGAAGAAATAAATGAAGGAGTCAAATGACTTTCCTAAGGTCACACTATAAGTAAGAACCAACAGAACATTTTTTTCCATCCATGAGTTTCAAATCCTTTGCCTTTAGTATGACACACATTAATTACTCCTTACATATACACACACATATACCACTTAGCTTCCTTCCTTCCTTCCTCCCTTCTTTCCTCCCTCCCTCCCTTCCTTCTTTCCTTCCTTCCTCCCTCCCTCCTTTCTTTCCTTCCTTCCTCCCTCCCTTCTTTCCTTCCTTCCTTCTTTCTTTCCTTCCTCCCTTCCTTTCCTTCCTTCCTTCCTTCCTTTCTTTCCTTCCTTCCTTCCTTCCTTCCTTCCTTCCTTCCTTCCTTCCTTCCTTCCTTCCTTCCTTCCTTCCTTCCTGCCTTCCTTCCTTCCTTCCTTCCTTCTTTCCTAAAGTGGGGATAATAACATTACCTCTTTCCTAGGGTTGTTTTGAGAATCAAATTTGGGATAATAATTGAAAAGCTCTTATCACAGTGCATGGCACATAGTAAACACTGTATAAATGTTAGCTGTTATTATTATTATTATGTAACCCCCTTACTCAATACATTCCAATGGGTCTCTAGGATCTCTAGGATCAAACATGAACTCCTCTGTTTGGCAAAGAGCTTTGAGACCTGCTCCCTTCACATTTTCCCAATCTCCCTAAATATAACTCTGCTCCTCACAGTCTGCAGTCTAACCCTTCCCACCTTCTTGCTGTTGTCCCTCATACATCATGCTCCACCTTTCTTCTCTATGCCCTGTACCAGATGTTCCCCACCCTTAAAATGCCCGTTTTCACCTTTGCCTCAGAAGCCACGACTTCCTTCATGACTCACACACCACCTAATAGAGGAGGCATTTCCTGGTCCCCCCAGTATCTACTGCCTTCTCCTCTAAGGTTACATTGTGTAGCAAGGGTTCTCCCTCCACATGTAGCATGGGGATATCATCGTGTAACTCAAAGAGAGGCAGAATAGACATCTCAAGCCTCTTTATGCACCATCCTTCTCCAAGGGAGACTTTGTTTCCCGTCATGAGAGAAAACAAAGGGTCGGGGCCAGAGACTTGACCACTTTGCTCTCCTCAGAGAGAGAAAGAGGGAGGGTACCAGACTAGAATCATATCTATTTGCTCCCTTAAATATTACTAGTCTAGGTGATGTAATTTTCAAGTTCAATCTAACTTCTGATCAGTGTTGTTATTTCATTAATTTGGGGGAGCAGGATCCCAAGCTTTATATCCAATACCTGACTCCCTTCCCACCAAAGAGCAGTTCTACAATGAGCGCACATTATCATTAACACAGAAACTTATTTATCCAAGTCAACAGCAAAATAGAAATCAAAGAAAGTAAACGTGGGAGAATATGTACTGGATAATGCAGAGCAAAGGAGCTCTCCCATTTGGATCAAGATAACCCAGCTCTCAAAGAAAGAGAGAAGGGGGAGGACCTGAGTTCAAATTTGACCTCAGACACTTGACACTAACTAGCTGTGTGACCCTGGGCAGGTCACTTAACCCCAATCGTCTAAGCAAAAAAAGAAAAAAGAAAAAGCTTTAAAAAAAAAAAAAGAGAATCCTAGATCTCACCAAAGGGGAAGTTCCTCAAAGTCTCTAAGTGTAGCACACTGGGGATAGGGACATGATAGAAACTGCCAACTCCTCTCCTGTCTTCCCAGTCTTTTCCTTCTGTAAGCTGAAGGGAAGGCTTTGTCCATCTTCTCTCTCAAAGCTGGAAGCAGGAAGTTCCCAAAGTGACAGCAGAGCCTGAAGCAACTCTGAAGAGACTGAAGAAGTTCAAAAAAGATGGGAAGGCTTCAAGAGACTGGCAGTCTTCTCTCTCATTCTCAACATGTCCTCCCTGCCACTCATAGAGGCACAGGGTGTTCATCTATACCACAGAGGAGAAATCTCATTTCAATGGGCTTTAGGATTCAAATTACACTTGTATCTACTCTCTGTATCTTGTATGTACATGTTCTCTTCTCCATTGGAATGGAAGCTCTTGAGAGCAGGACCTATTTTGTATCTTCAGCTAGGCGCAATACCTGGCACAAAGTAAGTTTTTACTAAATGCTTATGGATTGATTGATATTGGATCCCTAGTATTGAATGTAGAAGGAACAGCAGCCATATGATGCTGTGGAAGTGGGCCAGGCCTATTTTACTTCTTTATTAATGAGCAGGAAGAAAGCAGTAAGGAGCATATCAACATCAAAGACTTGGATTTAACAAATTTCAGCATAATGAGCCAGGAGGAAAGAGAAAATGACACAAATGGATTTCAAGAGGTTAAAAATCTTCCCAAGAAAGAAGATAACGCAATTTACATAGGAAAGATGCCAAGTTAGCTTACATTGTTAGATAATCAAAAACAAATTATTTATTACACCCATTGTATCTAATTTGCAATATAAGATGTATTTTTGCCTGATAAATTTTGTTTAGGCAAATCATACACACCCCAACAAATTCGCAGTTCAATCCTTGAAGATAGTTAACTAACATGGTATAAAAATAGTGATTGTGACTGACAGAACTTGGAAGCTTATGCTTTTTTAATTATTTTTGCGAGGCAGTCAGAATTAAGTGACTTGCCCAGGGTCACACAGCTAGTAAGTGTCAACTGTCTGAGGCCAGAATTGATTTCAGGTCCTCCTGACTTCAGGGCTCGGTACTCTATCTACCATACCACTTAGCCGCCCCTTGCTTTTTTTATTTTTTAAAAGAAAAGTGATAGATACATTTAATTAATTAGTATCAACATTATTGCACATGAAGTATTTTTAGTTTTCTATTTAAGGTTGTTCTTACAGAATTACAGTCATTGTGTACATTGTTCTTTTAATTGCTCTTGCTTCATTCTATATCATTTTATACCCATCTCCCAATGTTTCTTTGACCTGTTCACATTCATTATTCATTATGCCAAAATAATATTACATGATATTCAGATGCCATATTTGTTCAATTATTTCCTAGTAGTTGGATACACCTTTTGTTTCCAACTTATATTTTACCACAAACTGCATTTATAGCCAAGGCAGTTAGGTAGCTCAGTGGATAGAGAGCTGGGCCTGGAGTCAGGAAAACTTGAGTTCAAATTTGGCCTCAGACTTTTATTAGCTGTGTGACCCTGAGCAAGTCACTTAACCTCTGTTTGCCTTAATCCACTAGAGGAAATAGCAAGCCACTCCAGTATCTTTGCCAAGAAAAAAGTATGATCCATGGGGTCATGAAGAATTGGAAATGACTGAATGATTGAACAACCACAATAAGGAATTGTCAGAGGTAGAGATGAGGATGGAGTACAATTCAGGCTCTGGAGGAGAAAGTGAGGCTCGTGACTTTGCACAGCCCTCCCTCCCTCCCTCATATCAAAGTCAATTGCAAGTCATCTCCCTGATGTCATGGTCCTCTTCAAGAACAAAGGACAAATCACAATCTGTGAGTAGCTGGAGCTCCCTGAATAAGGAAGCCCACTGGCCAGTTCCAATCAGGTAACTCAGCTCCTCCTCTCCTCCCCTCCCTTTCTTCCCTTACCTGAGTGTGTTCTGCCCAAAGGAAGGTAAATTTTGGCTAAAAGCTACCTAGTTAACTTGGGGTTTACTGGCTAGATTTCTTTCTCGAAGACCAAGCCTTAAACGTAATTCACTCTGGATCTCATGGATTGGACAACAACCCAAGAACCACTTAATGGTTGTTTTTTGGGCCCTCCAGGCTCAGAGTGAATGTAAACAGTAACTGTTTCTCTTTTGGCCAGCAACCCTCCCAAGGGTCTTCCCCTCCCAATCTGGTTTTGTTTTTTTTTTTTTTGCTTAAAGAGGCCATCCCTTGACTCACTTCTTAAAGAGGCCTATGTCACTCAAAGTGACAACCTGAAAAGACCTTAGCTTAAAAGGGCCAGAGTCTGTCACTGCATCCTGGGCTATCTCCAGTCGTCCTGACTGATATCAGACCACAGGACCCAAAGTCACACAGCTAGTGAGTGTTATGTGTCTGAGGCCATATTTGAACTCAGGTCCTCCTGACTGCAGGGCCGGTGCTTTATCCACTGTGCCACCTAGCTGCCCCTGTTTACTATTTATGTCGTCTCTAACTTTGCATTTGGGGATAAAGTTATAAACTCTGCTCATAAGGCGTAACATTAGTTTCCATTTTTAAGGGATATATGTTTTTCAGGAAAATCACATGCCTTTTTAATTTTTCCAAACATCTCCAAGCAGCACAGAGCTGTATCAGGACAGTGAGCCAGAAGCATAGTATTGACAGTTCCCAATTAGAGAACACCCACATACCTCCTGTCTCTTTAGCTAAAGATTTTTATACACATTCACATGCAAAACACACACTTCTGGGGGAACTAATTTTTCTTTATAATAAAGAGAAAACTTTGCCAAAAATAACTGAGCATGTAACGATTACAGTTATTTTTACTGTGGTAGCAGATGCTGGGAGCCTACTAAGGCAACTCGGAAACACGGTCTATAAATAGCAGCTTATTGTCAGTGTTCGTGAAAAGATGAAGAGCGTTTTGCTGCGTGATTCAGACTCAATTGAGTGGTGAAGTTCTGCCAGGGCTATAAACGAAAGGCAACTTCACCTGGAAAACTGGTCTGCAGACAACTGGGACCAGGTCACTCACTACAGGATCCTGCTCCGAGACAGGCTGTTGGGAACTCTTTCTGTCTCCATCATGGAAAGAATCATCATAAGGCACCCGATAGAAACCCCAGTACGCTATCAAGAGGAATTTGAAGCCCGAGGCCTTGAAGACTGCAGGCTGGATCACAGCTTGTATGCACTGCCAGGGCCAACCACGGTGGACCTGGGGAAGGCCAGGTCAGCCCAGAATCCACTACCGGCTACAGAAACTGAGAAGCCGCCAGCGGAGGACAAGCCTCATTTTCAGATCTTGCTGGATGTGGTGCAGTTTCTCCCTGAAGACGTCATCATACAGACTTTTGAAGGCTGGCTCCTGATCAAGGCTCAACATGGCACCAGAATGGACGAGCATGGATTTGTCTCAAGAAGCTTCACCCGGCAATATAAGCTACCGGATGGTGTTGAAAACAAAGACCTCTCAGCCCTCTTCTGCCATGATGGCATTTTGGTAGTGGAAGTGAAAGATCCCGGAAGGGTTAACTGAACTACTGCCAGTTGCTGTTAATAAGACAGTATGTGCCTTAATGTGGGTCTGACAGCCCTGTGTAATTAGAGAGCTTGCATGCATGTGGCCCTATTGGCTGCATTTACAGTGGGGTTTAAAAATATATATTTGAATATATTTCTTGGTACGTTGAGTTTTATTGTTCATTTTCTCTTAGTGGAAAATGTTTAGCAACTTGCCCACAGTGCAGAGCTATGCTGTTTATGCAACTGAAAACTTATGACAATTTGAGATAAGCATTTCTGATACTGTTGTAACGCAAAACAGGTGCGCTTAACTGTATCACTAACGCAGGCAGGACTGAATTGGTAAAAATAAACTACAATAATTATACTAAGGAAAGGAATTAACATGACAATTTTCTTTGAAAAAATAGTTGGCATCTCTGCAAAATATAGTGTTTCTGCTAACTTTGATTTTTTTCATTTCAATGTATTTTTTTATATCAAAACTCAGTCTGGTAGAGTGGGATAAATATAATGGTAAAAGCATGGAATCAGAAGACCTGGGTTCAGATTCTGATTTTGCCATTTGTTTACTGTGTGACCTTGGCCAAATAAAGTAATTTTACCTCTCCAGGCCTCAATTTTTTCACCTTCAAAATGAAAAAGATTGGATTAGAGGACCCCTGCAGTCCCTTCTCACTCAAATCCATGACTCCAGATAAATCTTTTTGTTTCTGCAATAGAGAGAAGGTGCACATTTGTGGAATCCTTCTGGATCTATACATTTGTTGTAAACAAACCAATTATCAGCTACACTGTGATTGTAATGTGATCTGTTGACATTGTTCATTCATAAGAATACACATTTGCTATGACTCTCATGATTGTTTTACAATTCAAAATATGATTAGGAAACCATTTTTTAAAAGTCTAGCTATCCTTTCCATAGCTTTGGTTTAAAGGACAATTATGAGACCTGGAAAAATTGACAATAGCCAGAAAATGGCAAATGCTTATTCATTGTCTCCATATAATCTTTTTTTTTAGGCTCCATATAGTCTTTAAATATTCTAATCGACAGCAAGGAATTTAAAAAAAGAAAGAAAGAAAAAACTTGTCACACAGTCACAGATACCACTGTGTGTACACAGCATGCCTGACAGTTATCACATTACAGCTTGCCCTCTCTTAATCAGTTAGCTTGTCCAAAAGAACAACAGTTAAGACTTTAGTAAAGGTATATGCTTATTGCTTTATGAAAGCTGCCTCCAACAGCTGGTCTATTGCATTCCACAGATCTGCTATATCATTGCTGTAAATGCTAAACAATTCAAGGAGAGAGGATGTGGAGAGCGGGGGCAGGGAGGGATAGGAGGAGACTTGCTACCTCCTTTCAAGTGTACTTAAGATAACTACATGACTGCAGTTCTATGAATAGAAGAGGAATGCCTAATGGCCAGAGCCAAGCTAAATAGAGACTTTCCTGCTATCAGAGCACTGTGTGATCAAATGCAATAAATTTTCAATGAAATTAACTACCAGTACAGAAGGAAAGGACATAAAGAAAGGGGGAAAGAAAAGAGAGTGAAAAATGACATTCTAATTAAAAACAAAGATTTCCTCCAGGGTTAAGGTCATAGAGATGATGTGTGTTTCTGTGTTCTGCAATGGTTGATATTTGATGTATGCTTATGTTCTAAGGTTTTGGAATCAACTGTCTCAAAATGAATATCATTGATTTTCTCTGTAGTTACCTTAGGCGATTGCTCTCATATTCCATTAACTGAAACATTCAGGCTATAAAATTCAGTTGGTTGCTATAGGAGTTGTTATCTACATAACCATTGCTCCTTACAATGGATTGTTTCTCCTCCTTTTTCAAAGTTTGGGGGTTACATAAAACCTTTAATCATTGGTAAGTAGGCCAGGTGGTGGCAAGAGCACTGACTTTGGAGAATGAAGTCCTGGATTCAAATCTTAGCTCTTCTATTAAGTACCTGTGTGAATTTAGACAAGATAATTTATCTCTGAGGCCTCAATTTTCTCATCCACAAAATTAGGAGATTGTACCGAATCACCGCTAAGGTTGCTTATAGCTCTAAAGCCCATGGAACATACTGTTCAGAGAAATTTGAAAGCAAAGTAAAAATTATTTCTGTACGACAGTATTTCGAAACCTGTTGTATGATGAAGGAGCTGATGATGGTGAAGTTCCAATAACTAAATGTGGATATGGAACAAGAAATGGTTCCTGGTGAAGTGAAGTCACCAAAAAACTGCCATTCTGTGTTCCTGAGTAGATATATTTTAAAGGGTCCCTTCTCTATAAACAAAATGACTTGCTTTTTTTTTTCAATATTTTTTGTTCCTTTTATTGAAAAGATGAGATGAATGTTTTGTTTTAATAGTCTAAGATGATCTGTTATCTGTAAAGCTTAAAATAAAACATGGCCATGGTCAGAGCCATAACTAGGAATTCTTGAGTCTCAGCTAAATTCAATTAGAGTGGAGAATGTATATGATAGTGGCATAAGAACAATAGAATTGTGAGTCCAGTCGTGCTGGAAGGGGAGGACAGCCCATCCCCTCCAGTCTAGCCTGCAGTAGGGGGATTGGGAGGAGGCCAGGGAGGGGAAGGCTGTCATGGTGACTAGACGTTGGGGATGAACCCAGGGGTTGTGATAACCACACTGCAGCCCACTTCGGTGGAGGACTACTATGTGCAATGTGGGGATGGTGATCTCCAAGGGAAGAAAGTGTGCCCACAATCTTTCCCACTGGGGAGGAAGCATGCCACCCTTCCATGCCACCCTGGAGCAAAATCTCAATTACCCTGAGCTAGTTATAACACTGAGTAGGTTACACTGGATTTTTAAGAATTGCCTTTGCTTATTCTGATGCTTCATCATGGCATATGGAATTCTGGCTTCAGAGCACAAGCTTTGGCAGGTCCTACCACGCTGGAAAGGCTTGTGATGTTCTGTAACGGGCAACTGGGGCAATCTTAAGTTTGGAGTTCATCACTAGAAATCTGGCTACCATAGGATAAATTTTGACAGAGCAACTCAAAAAATCAGGCCTAGGTCATCAAGTGGTTGCAATCTGCATCAATGGAAGGAATGTCCACACTGAGCACTTGAGCTTTGAAATATTTGAGAACTGAATTTGTAGACACTCTATATTGATTGCTATTAATCCTTTTGAGACAGACGTCACTTTATTTTTTCCCCTTTTCAACATATTTTTGTTTATTTCATTAAATATTTCTCAACTACATGTAAAAACGTTTAACATTTGTTTTTTTTTAAATTTTGAATTCCAAATTGTCTCCCTCTTTCCCACCTCTCCCTCCTCCTTGAAAAGGCAAACAATTTTATATTAATTATACATTTAAAATCATGCAAAACATTTCTGTACTACCCATGTTGCAAAAAAAAAGAACACACAAAAATGAAAAACATTTTTTTAAAAGTATGCTTCAGAATCTGCGTTCAGAATTCATTAATTCTTTCTCTGATGGTGGATAGCATTTTTCATTATGGGTCCTTTGGAATTATCTTGGATCATTGTCTTGATCAGAGTAGCTAAGAGTAGATCATCCTTAAAATATTGCTGTTGCTGTGTACCATGTTTTTCTGGTTCTGTTCACTCAACTCTGCATCAACTCATATGCCTTCCCAGGTTTTTCTGAAAGCATTCTGCTCATCATTTCTTATGGCACAATAGTATCCCATCACAATCATATACCACAACTTGTTCAGCCACTCCTCAATTGATAGGCATCCCCTTGATTTCCAATTCTTTGCCACCACAAAAGAGCTGCTATAAATACTTTTGTATATATAGGCCCTTTTCCTTTTTATTTGATTTCTTGGGAATATAGACCTAGTAGTATTATTGCTGCACTCAGCAGGGTATGCACAATTTTAGAGCCCTTTGGTCATAGTTCCAAATTGTTCTTCAGAATGTTGGATTAGCTCACAACTTTACCAATAGTGCATTAGTGTGTTTTCCACATTCCCTTTAGCATTTATCATTCTCTTTTTCTGTCACGTTAGCCAATTTGATAGGTGTGAGGTGATACCTCACAGTTCTTTCAAAGTGCATTTCTCTAATCTGTAGTGATTTAGAACATTTTTATGTGACTATTGATAGCTTTGATTTCCTCATCTGAAAACTGCCTGTTCATATGCTTTGACCATTTATCAACTGGAGAATGGCATTTATTTTTTATAAATTTGGCTCAGTTCCCTATATATTTGAGAAATGAAGTCATTATCAGAGAAACTTGCTGTTAAGATTCCCCCCCCCCATTTCCTATTTTCCTTCTAATTTTGGCTGCATTAATTTTGTTCGTAGGCTTCACTTTAAAAAGAAAATAGGAGAGGGGCAGCTAGGTGGTTCAGTGGATGGAGCTTCAGTCCTGGAGTCAGGAGGACTTGAATTCAAATGCAGCCTCAGACACTTAACATTTATTAGCTTTGTGACTCTAGGCAAGTCACTTAACCCCTGTTGCCTCACCAAAAAACAAAAAAATATAAGAATCCCAGACTTGAACCTTTGTACTATTGCTATCAATTTAATTGCTCCCTCCTTCCCTTTCCTCATCTTCTGCCTCTTTCCTAAAATATACCGACATAGCTTCTTACAAACACTTTTTATAATTCTGATAGGCTTCTTTTACTTCTTCGGAAATTGCTCTAAATTTTTGCTCAATATAGGGGCCAATTGTTCTTGAAAAAAAATGACACTTCTATGAAGAGTTTTGCTTTTTGCAATTACTCCTTGTAATCTACATGTTCATGCATTTCAGAAGCAAAATGTAGTATTATCCAAAAGGAGGTTAATCTAAGGCATTCCCCAAGATTGGAGGTGGAGGGAAGAAGGAGAATGGAAAGCTTTGCTTTGGAAATATATTTTCATATAATTGAGAGTCATTTTGTGTTGTCCCTTGAAATGTCTCTTGAGTAGTTTTATTAAAAAAGTTTTTTAAAAAACACTTGAATTTAGAAACAGCAATTGAACTCTAGGAAGAGAGTGTGGTATACACACACACACATATACATATATGTATACCTATACATACACCTATACCTATATATATATATATACTTATTAAATTGGATTACCAGGCATTTTCAAAGTTGGGTGGTTGTTGTTGTGATTGTTGTTTTTTGCATAACTCACTTTTAGAAATAGGATATTATATTTCAATGTCTACTGATGAAAGGTGAACTAACACGAACCTCGTTGAGTGCACAGACTTGGCCAGGTTTTCCATTTTGGGTCTTCTCTAGATCTATGCTGTCTATTCATCTCTCTCTCTTTTAGACCCAACTATGGCTTAACTTTAGCTCAGAATTTGTTTGTGGCAAGTACTGGCTCTGCAGCACAGGCTGAATTCCAGTCTGGGAAGTCATAGCCTCTTCCCAACTCTTCATACACACATGCTCCCATCTCTACTTATCCAAAAATATCATACCAGTGTTCTTTTGTTTAAGAAGCAGCCGCCAGGCAAATACCATAACCATACCATCAGAAGCTCTGCTCTTCAAAAGGATGGAGCTCCCTAAGGTTTGTCCTTTATCTTTCCAAGCCCAAATCATATCATCTTCTAGATTCCCCCAAACAACATTCAAATCCTTTGAAATTTTAATATGACCTTAATTCTTCTTTGTTGTTGTTTTTGTTTTGAAATGAGATTGAAAAAAGTATGGCACAACCCCTAACCCACTTTGGCCTTTCAATCTGACAATAATTTCTAAATAGTTATGTTTTTCTTGGTTTCTTTGTCTGGAAAATAGGAGGAAGACTTTATTTCTGATCTTACTCCCTAGCACCAGAATGACTTGGTTCTTTCAACTTTTGGGGAGTATAACCTCATTTATTAAATTATAAATGGCTTTGAAAAGGTAATCAATTTTGAAAGACTTAAAAACTGGTCAACACACTGACCAATTACAATTCCTGAGAAGGAAATGTAGTACCCACCTAGAGGTGATGAATTCAGAGTACAGATTGAGATATAAGTTCTTTTTTTTTTTTTTAACATAACCATTGGAGGAATTTGTTTGGCTTAACTATATACCTTTTTTTTTTAAAACAGATTTTGTTTTTCTTGCTTTCCCAGTGGAGGAAGGAAGTGGATAGGAAAGAAAGAAGGATCTTTATTTGAAAAAAATTATTTAAAAAATGACTTTGAAGTGATTATCTACAGCTATCTGTCCTTCATAGTTTAGTCTCTAGGTGGCAAAGGTGTATTTCAGATTAAAGTAGACAGGTCATTTTCTTTTAGCCTGTAAGGGGATGAGGTGGTCAGCGGAGTCATTGTAAGTTCCCTGAGGATAGGGACTGTCTTTCTTTTTCTTTTTTGTATCCCTAGCATTTAGCATAGTGCTCGGTACATAGCACATACTTAATAAATGTTTATTGAATTGAATTGTTTGGAGGGCTGGAAGAAAGAGCAATAAACTTCTCCCAAAATCCTCCTTTCTCGAGGGTCCTGAACTTTCCAGGTAACTATTTAATTTTCCATCAGCAGCTCTACTTGGTTTCCAGGAACAAGTATCATGCCCTTGCCTTCATCCTTGATATCCCAATATGCCCCTTTCTGCTTTCTTTTGTATATTATCTTTGCCCATTAGATTGTTAGCTCCTTGAGGGAAAGGACTGTCTTTCTAGCACAGTGCCTAGCACATAGTAGGTGCTGAATAAGTGTTTATTGAATTGAAATAAGGACTACCTTATACTTAATGCCCCCTATACCAATCATTACCTTGTGATGGCAGAGGGGCTTGAGTAGCTCAATGAAACTATGCCATTCAGGGTTACCCAAGATGGACAGGTCATAGTGGAGAGTTCTGACAAAAGGTGATCCATTGGAGAAGGAAATGGCAAATTGCTCCACTATCTTTGCTAAGAAAACCCCATGGACAATACTAAAATGCTCAAAGAGATGACATTGGAAGATGAGCCCCTCAGGTCAGAAGGTGTCCAATACACTACTAGGGAAGAACGGAGAATAACTACAAGTAGCTCTGGTATTAATGAAGTGGCTGGGCCAAAGCTGAAAGGAAGCTCCACTGTAGATGTATTTGCTAATGAAAGAAAAGTCTGATCTTATAAAGATCAATATTGCGTAGGCACCTGGAATGCAAGATCTGTGAACCTAGGTAAGCTAGTGTGGTCAAACAGGAAATGGAAAGATTAAATACTCTGGCCACATAGTGAGAAGACTGGATTCATTGGAAAAGACCCTGGTGTTGGGAAATATTAAAGGCAAAGGGGATGGCAGAGGATGAGATGGATAGACAGTATCATGAAACAACAAACAAGAACTTGGAGAGACTTAGAGAGATGGGAAAGGATAGAAGGGCCTAGTGTGTCATAGTCCACATGGTCACAAGAGTTGGCAAAGACTGAATAACTGATCAAATATATCTAAATCACCTTTGGTTCCTTCAGTGATTGTAC